AAGAGTTAGCTTGTCGAAACGTGGTAACCTATCCCATATTTATGCCGAAACTTGGCAGCTGATATCATAATTATGCCAAAACATGTTAGCCAACCTTATATTTATGTAGAAATGTTGAGGATGATCCCATATTTATACTAGAATGTGGCAATCCTATCCAATAAGTATGTCGAAATGTGGCAATCCGATTCCATTCACCCACCACAATCACAATCATAAGCACATCATCTAAATCATACATTTTCATGATTCCATGGAAATAATTCATATATGTCATTTACAACAAGTGTGATCAACATTACAACATGCATACATAGCAAGTATTATAATGACGCAAGAACAAGAACACATCACATATGCATAAAATCAGAACCATCACCTATTACCCCAAAATCCCGTCATTCATTCAAAATTAGGTCATGCTTAACCCTAGTTGATCATCTAAGTCTCTTGAAAATTAAAAAATTCTTCTCACTAGGCATAAAACCCACATATATCGAATTCTAACGATTATTTGTGCAATCAAATCGGTCCACTAAGGTCTACGCATAGCCTTTACCATTAATTTACATATATCAGGTAGTAAGCACAGATTTATATCTACTCTATTTTAAAAACCTAGCCTACCTTGTCGCCACTCAATGGTAAGGAGTTTTGACTTGATTTGAGTTCTTCAAGGTTTGTCATAGTAGATTTTCCCAAGAATTTGCGAGATTTTTCCATCCTAATTCTAGAAATATCCTTCTTTTTCATTTTCAAGCTTAAAGCAATTTTTCTGAAGTTTCTAGGGTAATGTATCACTTATTTAGGCATTTTGGAAATATAGAAAATATAATTTCTCGTAATTACATTGTTCCTCGCTAATCCTGCTCTGGCACAAACTTACGACGTAGTGGCGTTGTCGCTCCATTGTCATCTGGCCCGCTCTAGACGGACAGTTGCCTAAGTTTCTCGCAAATACTTTCCCTTTCTACATATTAATAGTTCGGTTCATTACAATAAATACAAATTTATTCCTTGTTCGTCCCCGAACGACTAGTGCATGGTTATCACACATTAAAGACTCAGACACCCCTAACTACCAAAATGATCAAACACAAAAGTCACGACAAATCGTGACCTTTCAGATAATTAACACACCAAAATATACTATACTCCTTGGCTAGAAGAGATTCTGATGCAACATCCGGAAATCGAAAGCATTTCAAACTACATAGCTGGGCATGCCAGGGCGACACCCCTCCCACTCTGGAGAAGATTCTCTTTGTGCAGCAGGAGGTCGGCAATAGAAAAGTTTTTCTGATTCTCCTCATTTTAAAACTCAACTCTCCAAATACACTCTTGAATCACTTCGCTTTGAACATCAAAACTCTAGTATTTTGTGCATTCCTTACACCTCTTACTTCATTACCATGCTAACAATAATTTCATACTATTGTTTAATCTCTTAGAAAGGGTATTGGGTGGTTATATTTGAAAATGAACTAGGTTGCTTGAATTTTGATATATAACGTAGCCAAGAAATCTGCCTTACGACCCCATCGTTTACACCACCTCTTGAGTGTAAATATATCATAAAAACATAGGTCAATTGATACAAAATTGGTGGAGGAAGTTGAAAAGTTATCTTGACATAAAATCAAAATTGCGCACTATTTAGAGGTTATTTTATTAAATTAAATGCATAAATTGATTCTAGGTAGTTGATATACTCTGATCTCCAAAAATTCTGATGAAAACATGGATTATTGGGACAAAAATGTGCAATTGTCGCACCTGGAATTCATCCCAAATGAAGTATGATGTGGCGCCCTTTATCTCACTGTGGCGAGCTTCATCATCGCGCTTTTGGAGGGACGATGGCCATTGTGGTGGGATTTTCCAGACTAGTGGCCTACCCCTAACACCAAATTTTCTCTTTCTTAATTTTCTGCCTTAACTAATTGTCCTATCATGTTCTAAGTTATGTTCACTTATTGCAGGCTTCTAAATAGTATGACAAAATTATGAACACTTGTTCTTCATTCGATTTCTCGACGCCACTAGTCAGGATGGGTCCAAACCCCAAATAAATAATTTTTGGGTTCTTTTCATTTCCCAAAATTTCCTAAGGTTCCAGCTTAACCGATCAATCTAAGCTAAATCTCCAAGCTAGGAAATTATTGAATACTCTAAATTAATCCTAATGAGACAGTATTCCAGTTTTTATTAATCACACGATATCACCACACATCCCCAAGATACCTCAAGACACTCACATGATTCTAAGTAATAATTTATCTCAACGAATTACATGATATTTAGGGAATTATACTTACAATCAGTTCCACTAGAATTTTACTTACAATTGTCCAGACACCCCATATGATGTATTTAGTTGCACTGACCAAAGGTCCTCACCTCCTCAGAAAATCAGACAACCAAACAGTACTTCCATTGACATTTACTTCACTCAGCAAACAACACACATTTGTAGTGAGTTCAACAACAAGAATCACGCCACCTCAGTTAATTCAGGCAACAAAAAGCACACATTCACTATTTCCAAAACAAATAAATAGATAATACATAAAAAAATACAATGCCCAGACAATTTCAATTTATTAGTTAGATTGTTCAATAAATGACCATTACTGGTCATTGATGCTCCTTATAGCCCCTCGGGCTAGATACCAATTGGACCTTACAGTTCCAATTAACTTGTTGGTGTCCCTTCGTTTGTATTAACAACGTCTTGTTCACTTCGTTGAGATACCAATTGGACTCAACTCATAATACAAGGACCCTTAACACGAAGGAAGAGAATGAGTGGAATGACTTCCTACAATGCTCCATATCCTCTTGTACGTTAAATGTGGACGTCAACACACCAATCCACACGAGTCTATTTCACCTTATGCTCTTATACAAAGAGATTGGTAACCTAGGCTCTGATACAAATTTGTCACAACACAACCCACTGGACCGTGCAGGTACCCACTCTAAAACATAAGTAGGAGAACCCTCATATCTCAATAGTAAAATCTACGAAAATTTAACGAAATGGAAATAAATATAATAATTCTAGGCACACTTTTTAATACAATTCGAAAAATAGTTGAAACAACTCCCATGGATATAGTCTAAAGAGGAACAAGAGATACTAAGAGTACAACTGGACAACAATAAAAAAAGACACAACTCCCACCATGCTGAAGAAAAAAATAGAAGCTGATGGGGATGTACTTCGTTCTCACCTAATAAAACATTACCAATCCAGCATTCAAACTATATAAAAAAGACATAGCAAGAGTAGTATCAGTATAAACACGCGTACTGGTAGACATGATTGGTTAACCCGACACTCACCACATAACATAATAAACCAACTAGAATGAATCATGGTATAAACCACTCGCTTCTCAACCATTGTTCTCTCTTCGTAATGCCCCAATCACATACTAGAACCCTGAGTAATAACCCCTTTCCAAATCATTCCCACTTACCGGTTTCTTAAATTATAGCTTAACCATTCTAACCACATAGAAAATTCTCAAGTACAACTACCACTCTTTAACTAACCATACATGTATTACCCTTGCTTCATAGCCATCTTACCTATCATAGTCTAAGATACATTAACTCCAGATTCCTTAGCACTAGCCCAATATCTTACCCCAAGGTGAAATCCACCTAAAATAATTCCTCGCATACACTATCTCTACTCTCACCGTGATAACTCATGCACAACAAAGTATCAATCACCCAACAAGTATCCACTAGTACAACATATATAAGTTTGTGCAACACTATACTAACTAGTGAATATCAAAGATGTACAATATTATCAACTTACAAACAAAGACACATTTCACATTTTATATCACATCATTTGTTCTCTCATGTGACCAAACGCAAATAGTTAGTTTGCCGAAACATGGCAATCCAATCCAATATTTATGTCAGAACGTGGAAGTCGATCCCATATTAATGTCAGAACATGGAAGCTGATTCCATATTTATGCAAGAAATTGATAATCAGATCCTATAAATATATTGGAATGTGCCAATCTGATCTCATTCACATACCACCATCACAAGCACAAACAGATCATCAAGATCGTACATTTAAGTCATGTTATCATGGCAATGATAATTTTTATATCTCATTTACAACATGCAAGATCAATATTGAAACATGAATACATATACAACTATCATAATGACGCCAGAACATATTTACATCACACATTCATAGAATCACAACCATCACCTCAGTTACTCCAAAGTTCGCGTCATTCATTTAAAATTAGGTCATGCTTAACCTGCGACAACCCTCAAAATGAAATAGGACAAGATATATCTTCATATGTGTTTCTTGAGTTAATAATCTGTTATAATAATGGATAATAGCTTTAGAATCCAATTCTAAAGAGTTTGGAAGTCAAACATTAAAGGACGAGCAAGACCTTCAGAAACTAGTCTTGTGTGTTCTACAATGTTTTAGCATGTTTTATGTGTTTTGATGTGTCATTTGGTGTGTAAAATGAGTTGAAGGGACCCTAGAATCTATATGGTCATGTTTAGGGTCAAACCATCTGGTTACGACTCCTGAAGGACCATCCTAAGGGTCCTTGAGGAGGACGAAAATGTTTGCAAAGAAGCAGCCAAAATAGCCTCATTGACGGACCAATTTGACGCCTCATAGATCAATGAATGCCCCGTAAAAAGGGGATTGGATCCACATTTATTTGTGGGAGATTATCCCTAAAATGGGGAGTCTTTGAACAAAACGATGGAGCAGTAGGACGGCTCATCGTCCAGTCGACGCCCCGTCAATGGTGTCCGTCTATTGACACGTGTAATTTTTTGCACGGTCTCGACCAACTTCTCCACATTTTAATTAATTTATAGAAATTTATTTTAAGTGTTTTAATGTATTTTAATTTATTTTAATTTATTTCTGACACCTATACCTAGAATTGGACTTCAGTTTTCAAAATCAAAATCCCTCTCCCAAATAAAGTTCTATCAAGACTCCATGGGAGGTTGAATCAAAAATGAAACTAGGATTGTGATTTTCATTCGTTCCTTAATCAATTCTTGTGGGATTTTGACTAATAAGGTATGGTGATTTCATCCTTGATGTTTCTATCATTCAAGAAGCCAATCCAAAGGCTTTTTTCAAAAGATCTCAAAATCCTAAAATTCCTATTTCAAAATGTAAACATGGGTTCTTGCATATAAAGGTTTTAATGCATGAATTATGATATTTTCTATCTTAATTTATTGTTTTATGATCAGAAATTTGATGGATCCATGAACATCCTAATTCTCTAATTTTGACTTATGAAGTGTGTTTGATGAATTTGATTGGATATTGTTAGAATTGTGTTGATATGATGTTATGTTACCTTTATATACTATAAATTATTACTAATTATGATGAATTGTTGGAGAATTTAGAAAAGTTTATTAATGCTTCGATAAAGGGTAAGTTGACCTAAAGTGTCCTAGTTCTTATTGAATTGATCTTTTGGAGTATGGTTCACTTATGGTGGAGGTGTTTAGTAAATGTATATGAAGATATATGTGAATTGTGATTATGACCTTGAAGGAATTCAATATGAAGTAAAATGATGTTATGGTGTATATGTATAGAGATGTCGTATGAAGTTATGAATGTGTGTCTTGAAGATAGTATGACTAATTCAAGTATGGTGTGAATGTGAAGTATGATTGTGTGTGGATTATGATGAATCTAGTATGATCATGTTTAGAAGACAATTTCATGAATGATGGTGGTTAAATGAAAGTTTGTCTCACATATACACACAATGAGTGAATGAATGAATGAATGAAGCTAATGCAAATGTAATAGATAAGAGTCTATTTGAAGGTTTTCTCAATAGAACTGTAATGATTTAAAAAAGGGAGATTTTTGGGTGGACACTCTTTGTGAGTTGAGATGTAGTGTCTAGTAGCAATCTCAATATTCTTAAGAGCTTTCGAATGAATGAATGATAGGTAAGGGGTGGATACTCTTCGTGAGTAGAGATGTAGTATCCAAAAATAACTTTTTGAGATGTAGTACTTAAAAGAAAACTCTTACCCTGTAGCTAATGAATGTAATGGAAGTCTAAAACTCTATAGGGATTAATGCTTAGCACCAAGAGGATTTGACAAAGGGGTAGATACTCTTCGTGAGTAGATATTAAGTATGCACATGTTTTCATTTTGAGATGGGTACTCTTCGTTAGTTGAGTAGTACATATAAGCAATCTCCTTATCCCTTTACTATGCACCCGCATAGGACTAGCTAGTGGTGTTCCACGTAAAGGCTAAAAGAATGACCCTACCTTAGGCAAGTGGGGATCCCTCATCAGGTAGGGGTTAATACCTGCATTCCATGTTAAGCTCTCATGGTCTATGGCGGTTAAAGATAGCCCCCACAAATGAATTCTATAAACTAGGTCATCCAAAGGGTGTACTTCTTTTGAGATGGGCACTCTTCGTTAGTTGAGATGTAGTACTTATAAGCAATCTCCTTATCCCTTAACTATGCACCCGCATAGGACTAGCTTGTGGTGTTCAACGTAAAGGCTAAAAGAATGACCCTACCTTAGGCAAGTGGGGATCCCTCATCAGGTAAGGGTTAATACCTGCATTCCATGTTAAGCTCTCATGGTCTATGGAGGTTAAAGATAGCCCCCACATATGAATTCAATAAACTAGGTCTTCTAAGGGTGTACTGCTTAGGGTAGGCGGTGGAATGGGACGACATCTATGCATTGCAAAAGTAGGCATTTGGAGGGACTCTTGGTGTTTCATGATCTTGGTAATGAATGAATGGGTTACTTTATGATGTTAATGAAGTAAGTTGACTTTATGTCAAATGTTAATGAAGCATGTTGGTATTATGTCTAATTTTAATGAAACATTTTGGTATTGTGTCTAATGTTAATGAAGCATGCATGTTGCTATCGTGTCTAATGTTGATGAAGGCTATGTAAATGATTGAATGTTATGTGCCTAGTTTAGGTGGTTTCTAAGGAGCACTAAGTGGGAGTAGTAGAATGGATGCTACTTTCACATTAAAACAAGTGTAACTTTGAGTTATCTTAGGGGGTGGTTTTTATGTAAAGTTTTTAGATGCATGAATATTTCCTCTAGTATCTCTAGTAATGAATGTTAACTTGCTGTGTTTTGATGAAAAGGATGTATCCTTATTCTTAGTAGTCTTATTGAATACTTAGATATGTATTAACGAGGTTGTATGGGCAGTGTCTTCTGTCTTACCTAGGTAGGTTTGAGGATAACTTTGGATAGAGGGTCTAAATGATTTATGGGTTACCTAATGAATATGTCTATATGTTGAGAAGTATGGAAGTATTACATTTTAAGTTAAATAATTACTTGTATGATGTCTTGTACACTTGATTCATGAAGTTTTACCAAAAGAGCATGGAACACATATTTAAACTAAAATTTCCTCTTTGAAGCATGTTCTTGCATATTGCCATACTTAGTGCTTAATTGTACTAACTCCGTATTTTTCTCTATTTCTACAATTTTAGGTGGAAGGAAGTGAGGATCTTAGAGTTCAATCTTGGTAAGTAGATTTTTCTCTCAAGCCTCTTCGTACGTCCTCATATGTGTGAGGACAGAGATGTTATTCTTTGTTTCCTTTCTATGAAATACTTTGTATTAGACATGAGTTTCTTTTCTACGCAAGGGTATTGACCCTATGATAACAAGATGTCTCTAAGATTACTTGTGATGATGAGACTTAGTTCTTCTTACTTTTTATAAAAGATTTTCTTATTGACATTATTGTGAAAAGTTTTAATTCCGCACTACTTTTCATACCTATGTGATGAAAGCTAAGAGACATGTACAAGAACTACAAGAGGCCAAGTACGTCGTATTACTTCTAGGGGGTACTTTTGGATCGTGACATAACCCTAGTTCATAATCTAAGGCTCCAAATAATTCACCAATTCTTTCACTAGGCATAAAATATACATACATTGAATTCTATGGATTATTTGTTGAATTTACTCGGTACATAAAGGTGAACGCATAATCCTTACAATTGACTTACGTATATCACAAAGTAAACACAGACTTATAACTACTCAATTGTAAAAACCTAGTCTACCTGGACGCCATACAATTGAATGGAGTTTTAACTTTGATTTGAGTTCTTCTAGGTTCTTGATGGTAGATTTGCCCAAGAATCCGTGAGTCTTTGCATTCCCTATTCTACAAATCTCCTTCTCTTCCATTCCCAATCTTAGAGCAATTTTTCTGGAGGTTCAAGGGTAATTTACCACTTATTTTGGTATTTTGGGGAGATGGAGAAAATATGATTTCTTGTAATTACGTTCTGCCTCACTAATCCTGCTCTGGTGTCGACTACCCCGTTGTGGTGTTGTTGCTCCATCGGCATCTGGCCAGCTTTGATGGGACAGTGGACCAAGTTTTTTGTGGATATTTATCCTTCCTAAAAAATGACGGTTTGGGTCATTATAATAACACGAAATGGCAGATTACCAACATAATAAATCACAACATTATGACAATATGAAATTTTTACCACCAATATAATACACAACAATTTGACCATATGATTTTCAGTTAAAATAAATATACTAAAACTATTCGAGTACTGTTTTTTGAACTAGATTTTTCAACCCCTTTCTTCTACCATTCCTATTATTATTAACGATAGTATCCATTTTTTCTTAAACCTTATTGATTGAGGAATAATAAATGACAACATATTCATTGAATCATTTAACAAATTTGTTGTTGTCCTTTATACCCTTGTTGACATGCGATTGAGTGAACATATTCAACTCAAAGAAAGGTCTTGAACATATAAAGGATGGACTATCATGCACTACAGCTGATTTATTTAATCATTAAAGGGTAAAAAAATGGTGAAATATGAACTTGAGTTAAGATTTTGGTGCAAGCAGGGGCATAGCCAGGAATTTCAAAAAGGGTGTCAAGAAATAAGACGATAAAAGTTCTTTTTAAAAGGTAAAACAAATGATATTTGAACAAATAATCACTACCTCATTTTAAGAAGGTGAAATCACTTGGCTACAATAGCTTGTTGTGTTAGGGGTGTCCAAAATATTTTATTTAATCATTTCCTGTATCATTTTACTTGCATATGTTATATGTTTTTCCGGCGAATGGTTTCCGAATGGACACCCTGACCCCATGTTGCTACGCCACTGGGTGCAAGAGGCAATTCAGATGCAAGAAGATGAAAGGCGAGGAATTAGTTTGATGGAACGGCAGAGAAAAAGTTAATTACATAGAAACTATAAACCACATAGGGAGTAACTATGGACAACTTGTTGGTAACATAAAAAGTTTTACTTTTGTATAGATTGTATCCAAAAGGAAGAAATTAATCTGATAAAGTTTAAACATTTAAAGTAAAAGGTGAGAGAATAAAAAGTAAGAAATATAGTTTGAACTGTACTAGGAGAGATCAAAATTGACAAAATTTTATACCATAATTATTATCCAGACAAAAAGAGGCACATAATCCAAAAAGTAGGAGAGAATAAAATCAAAAAAAATTAAATTAGAAAATTAATTAATCTGCAATGTATGTAATTTTAAAACTATATTGTGACTAAATAGAAGTGTGTGTATATATTGTTTAGTAAAATTTTAAGTAGTATATTATTGTAATTTTCACTTTAATAACTAATTCAAGAAATGGTTGGGGAATCTCAATTATTAAAGCTATTCTACTTGTAACTTTTCTTGATTCTCCTAATTAGTTGCAATTATTTTATTTTCTATATTTTTCAAGTCGATCCTCGCCAAAGTAACAAACGTGTGACTTCGTTTTTCATAATTCTTTAGTCGTTCTTTTTCTTAAAAAAACAATAATAATGTATTTCAATGTTTTTTTTAGTTTTGAAATATATTTAAAATGTTTTGAAAAGCATAATCATATTTTTTAATGATTTACTAGGTTTAGAATTATCAAGAAACACACATTTGAGAATATGAGAGGTTGACATCGTTCACATGATAAATATATTATGGTATATTTAGGGGTATTTATGGAAAATGACATGGAAGGAAACCTATGTACCATCATATTGAGTATCTTGTACTTCATATACACAAGTACTAAACAATACACAAAGTCATAATTGATTAATCTATGAAAAATCATTCAATATTGGGAAGTCAATTGTATCAAAGAACAAATATTATAATTGCAAATATGTACAAGATAAACTCCATTAAAGAGTAAGAATTTTAGAATCTTTCAACTTTTTAATATATGTGACAATAAATGATCATTCATAATCTTAATGAGGTCATAGATTACCACGTGGTAATATAAGTTATCTAGCTTAAAAGAAAAACATATATTCATCTGTTTCATATATGCAGACATTATCTCTTTGTTCTATATCATTGGTTAAAAACCATTTAAATTCGAGAAATTGGTATCAACATACCAATCGAGTGTAGTGGCAGAGTCAAAGATTAATTTATTCCATATAAATTATGTAGTATTTTTTATGTCATAATTTACTCGACAAAAGCTCATAGAACTTTTAGCTCACTTGACACAAGTTTCATAGACAATATGCTATGTTTCTTGCGACATAAATTGTGGGTTCTTAAATCAATTTTTTTTCCTTGCTCAAAATAAGTTCGATGAAAATTAAGGTATATGTCTCTTTATACATAACTCGTGGATTCTGAATTTTAATGTTTATCTCGCTTTGCATAAGTGTATTAGGAATTGAGTTGTGCATTACAATACAACTTGTTGTATTTTTTTAGGGTGTACCTTGTGGTAGATCATGATAGAAAACTAGAAACTTATATCGAATATTTTTTTGTTTGTTGTTATTTGGTTTCAAAGATATATTTGAGCATATACCTTTTACTTAAAAAGATGGATAAAAACTATAACTTATCATAAGTGAGGATAAAAATTAAGATGACCCCAAAATATGGACTTATGAGTCCATTTATACTAGACAACCAACACGATTGGCATACATATATCGGTCTATCTAAGAAACAGAATGATGCTTTTATATCTGAAAGAATAAAATTAATTATAATTTTTTTGATTTATCCTTATAAGATATCTATATGTAATTTTATACAATTTTATAATTTGTTTTACGCATTTATATTTCTTTTACCAAAATTGTATACTTAATCAAATAATATCATATTATGATATGAAACAACGAGATTAATATAATATTAATAATTAGTGATCCAATAAACGTGAAAATGAAATTGAAAAATTTTCAGGAACAAAGAAACACTTTTTGTCATCAAAGGTAAGATAAAATGAGAGAGAATTTTGAGACAAATATAATAATGATGATAATTGTCATTATTTTATTATTATTGTCATAATTAATTATCATAAATTATAAAGAATATCACATATACGAGTACTTAAAATGATCTTGTTACTTGAATAGTCATTCAATTATTTTAAATTATGTAATAAAGTCATTATTATTTTGCCATAGAGAAGCCACTCTTCCGTTAGTATTTCTCTATAAATCATTTTGATCATCTCAAAAAAAAATGCCTCCAACCTCATTGACACCCCGTAGTACTAGAAAAAACATGACTTCTGGTAAAAAAAATATAAGAAAGAATATGAATTTAATACTAAATTGCAATAAGTTTGATTATTAAATAGTCAAAATAGTATTACAACATTAGGACTTTTGTTGTTTGTTCTTGTTATATTACTTTCAAACACAACTACTGCAACATTGTTTTTCAAAATAAATAATTGCATTCAATTGACATTATAGCATATTAATTCCTAATCAAACATATGAAAACATTAATCCATATCCTTGAAACTTTTCTTCTATGGTATGATTGAGTTTATCACTCTATTTTGTGGTAAAAAAAATTTTCCAATATCCAATTTCTCCTCTACGATGGAACAAATTATATGCCTCTCCAGTTGAAAATTTTCCATTTGTATTCACTCCCAAATTTCTCAAATTCTCAAAGCTACACATTTTTTCTTATTCTTATAGTAATGTGTATTTATAAGGTTAATTAACAGAAACAGAAATAACATGAAGCAGAAAATACATAAAATACAAGAAGTAATCTGAGTCCACAAAACCTACTGTGTGTCCTAAAGAAATTTAATCCACTCACTGTATTCAAGGTTATGGATTAATTTCTTCCAGGATAAAACGGATTAAACCTGTTAAAGTAATAGCGGTACCTCAAATTTCTTTAACTTCAGTATACTTCAGAACAACAACAAGTCACACAGACTCAGTCAATCAACACTTTGATTTTATTTGAGAAGAAAATAAATGCAGAGAAGGAAATTTTTTTCCAGTGTTTGAAAAATCGAAAATTGACTTCCTTTTATAGTCATTTTCAACAAGGAACGTGTCTGTTCAGTGAAATCTGTTCAGACCCGTTTTATCCAGAAAGTTGTGTCTTGTGAAAAAAAACAACTTTTTGGAAAATTGTGTCTGTTAGGAAAATAACGACTTTTTGGAAAGTAACGACTTTTTGAAAAGAGTAACAACTTTACGGAATGTTACCGTTAACCGCAAATTTATTAGAGATTATATTAACAGGATTTATTTGATTTTAAAAAAAATGATTAAATAAGTTTTATCCAAAAAAATTATCAATCAATCATTTTTCAAATCCGAAGCCGAAGCCGAGCGAGGGACGACGGCGGCACGAAGGGGCATCTTCTTCTTAGCTCTTTAAGAAGTAATGGAAGGTTTTCCTTATATAAGGACAACAATTTCCCTTTGTTTTGT